GAATTACTGGAGCTTCCCTTATAGTGTATTACATGGTTTATTCTTGTAAATGGCCTGCATTTGCTTGGAAATAATGTATATTCTCTAGTTGTTGGATATATAACCCTATGTGTGACCATGAGGTCTGGCTGATCAATCCTATGATTCAAATTGTACCTACTTTACTACTTTTCACCCACTTGTTGCCTTGGTCCCTGCTCACGTTCCTCACTTCCCTCTTCTTTGTGTTTTTGTAAGTTTCATCTTTTGTAAGTAAAGGTCATATTGTCACGTGCACATGGGGCATGAGCAGAATATCTTCTTGACCTCCTGCTCTCTTTCCACAGTGAGACATTTTCCTTGGACTCTTTCAATAATTTTTATCTCAGATTCTGTTCTGACTTGTATTAAAATTGCCATTCTAGCTTTGTCTGTTTATATTTCTCTTTTTATCTTTTGATTTTCAACTATTTATATATTTTGTTTCAAATATGTGTCCTAGAAAGTGCTGTATCACGATGATTTTCGTCCTCTGAGGAGTGAATTCAACTCATTTACAGTCAGGTAACCAATTTTATCTCAAAATTCCTTTCAGCCAACTTAGCTCATGTTTTCTACTTGCTACTCTTTTCTACCATCTTTTGGTGACGGGAAACTTTTCTTCCTTCATGTGAAAATTACATATTCTATCTTCATCCTTTTGGTGGCCATCTCTAACAGGATAAGAAGATATTTGGGTTTGTGATCAATAATTTAGCTCTCTGGTTTCTCACTTTCCTCTTGTTCTTTCCAACACAATCCCTCAGTGAGAAGGCCTTGACCAGCCTCCTAGCTCTCTGATTTGTTCCTGGTTACATCCATCATGCCACTTCTCAGCCCATCTCTTCAACCGCACTTGGTGTTTTCACACTCTGTAAATCTGGCTGGTTGCTCCTCCTTACTGCCCATTTGCTCTTTCTTCTTCTAACATTCTCTTGGGTAACTTTTTGCAAGGGAGAAGTGGGACACCTGTTTCCCTTCATCCCTCCCGGCGTCCTTCCTGGGCCCACATACAGCAAAGCAGTGGCACCATCCAGGGCAGGGGGAGAAGAGCCAAGTACACAAGCAGGAAGCCCCCCTTGGCCTGCCTTGGCTGTGCTCTGAGGGCCTTACTTGTGCCAATGTCTACCTGCCTGCACCCCACCCCCAGGGAGAACCTACAAGAGTCTACTTCTACATGCCTGCTTTTTCTTCTGCTTAGAGTCACGCTAGGACCCATTAGCACCCATGCAGCAGGGGCTTTAGTGAAGGGAACTGTCAGCCAGGGCATTCTGGGTGTGTTCATTCTCTTTCATGCTGGCAGAAATCAGATTTTTATATGTCAACGTTTTTAAAAGGAGCTCTACCTTAATACATGATTATGTTCATCTTAACTGAGTATGCAGAAAAGCCCGGGGCAGCGAGAGCACATTGTCTAGTTTGAGGAGAAAAAAATACTGTTCTTGGGGTAGGAATGTAACAAATTACATAACCTGGAAGCTGCAGCGGGGTTTGCACAAAAGCAGATGATGGCTGAGTCCCTAGGTGAAGGTCTCGAGATGAAAAAGCCATTTCTCCACAAATAGATTCCAAATCCAACTCCTCTTCTACTGAGGTCTGTCTGAGACACAAAGGGTGGCATGCTCCAGGTAAGAGCAACAGTGGCCTTCTCACTCTTCCAAAGCACCAGGGGCAAAGACAGTAGCCTCCATTTGTTTTTAAAGGGGGCTCAATAAGATCATAACGCATGAAGTGTTGAACAAGTAGGAAGGAAGTTTGATTTCTAGCAAAGAGCCTGGATTCCAAAAGACTCCTCAGGGAGCAAATGGTTAATCTTGTCAACAAAAACTGCAAGGACTTGTATTTCCAAAGGTAATTCTTGCCAATTCTTGGCTGAATTATCAAGAAAAAAATGAACCAAATGTCACACCAGTATCTGAAATGAGACAAGCAATGCACCCTACTCAGCCTGGCCAGATAAAATGACACAGGGTGAGCTTCACATCCCACCCGTGCGTTAGGACCTGTGCGCACCTGCCATCTCTCTGGGTAAATGTGACAGCAAAACTGTCACGCTTTCAAACACTCACTAACACTGTGCTATTAACATTTAAACTCCCCAACATTCCTCAACTTAACTGAAAGAAAAGAAATAAGTTTCTTGACCTCTATTCAATCCAAAAGAATGTCTATCATTTTCATTAATAGACAACATGACTGCAAGCTGCACAATGCAACAGGCATCAATCTACTTTATAGCAAATCTCACAGTAAATAAAGTACGATTGAGTTATAATTTTCAGTAGTACAGAAATATGCCCATAATAAATTTAAAATGGTATTATAGCACTCAATCAAAGAAATAGAAAACAGTCAAAGAAGAAAATATATTTTGGATTCTTATACTACGTGAATACATATGTTCAGTAAGGTAATTGCTTCTATAGAGACTAATGTAATTGTTCATTTTACAATTACTGAAATCAGTTTCTGAAAGTAAGACTGAGGCAAAAATAGAAAAAAATCAGAGAGCACTGTCGCCCAACAACTACTTCATCATTAAACAAAATTCATAAATACATGTGCCACCAAACACTCACATACATATTCTGTACATATAAAGCAAAGCCGTATTGTTTGCAAAGCACATAACATTCTGTAGGCACCATGTCTTGCATAATGAATCAATGAGTTTGCACTGTCTTTCCAGCGAGTGAGAGGGAGGGAGGGAGAGAGAGAGCACTTCCTCTGCATTATCTCTTTCTGACTCAGTCACTGTCTAATACACATGAGTCACTGCATGTAGCTAGGACCTGGTTCCACTTCTGGAGCAAGAACTGCAAACCACAGCCCATAGGCCAAATCTGGGCCACTGCACCAGTGTTATACATTTTATTCAGTGTTTGGTCATCTACTGCCTTGAAATATTCCAGCATTCTTGGCTTTGCATGAAGTACCCATTTAGAAAGACGAACTTTCAGTCTCATCTCATCTCCTCAGCTAGAAGATGAGGTCCAAAGCAACCCGCCTCAGGGCATGCCCTGTGGTGCTCAGTGTGGGCTCAGTAGCAGCCAGAACCAAGTAAACTACTCCTGGACAATGAACCAAAGGCACAAACTCCTGAGTCATGGGAACCAGGGCTCTCCATGTGGGGATGGTTCATGGGGACTCACTCCTAAACCATCCAGTGACCAAACACACAGTACTGGGGGGTAAAAGGGATAAGGCCCCCAGAAACTGACGGATGCAGATACCTCCAACAACACAGAAAGGAGAACGAGCCGAGAGGAGCGCAGAAGCAACATGGCTTCTAGCAAGGTTGTCTTCCCTCTTTCTCCCCCTCACCCTGCTAAGGTGAATTCTCCCCTGAGTGCTGCTAGCTTGAGCCCCTCAGCCTGACAGCTTCTCCCTTTCCCAGTGCTGGGTGCCTTCACTCAACCATGTTTTGTTTCTCTCAGGAGTAACTGTCTTCCCTGCAGGCTGATACCCCATTTCCTTCCCATGTCCTTGAGCATACCCGTGTCCTCTGCCTCCTTGCTGGCCTGCTGTCCCCATGCGCTCCCCAGTGGGGTCCTCTAACCCACTCTCCGCCTCAGTGGCCTCTTCCTGCTAGGATCTCACCTGCAGTATTCTTTGCTTCAAACACCATAAAACCTCTACTTCTACGTGTCCTTCTTTATACTATTTCTTACTTCTTGTTACTAGTAACCTCCATTTTCTCCGCTATTATGTAAATTACGCCTGTTTTTATAGTGATGCTACCTCATGTGACTTGTGATCATTCCTTTGTGTGGTGGCTATGCCCCTTGGGTGTCTAGTTTGCCATAAGAGGCTGTGCCACATGGAGACTTGCCCTGGCCAGATCCAGGCTGTGTTGCCAGGTGTGGTAGGGAAAGCCTGGGCCGCAGAGACACAGCTAGACCCACTGTGGTCCACTTCAGGCAGCCCCTCTCCCCCTCATCACTAACTTCTTGGAGATGAGAAATACTGGAAGCACCCCCTACCCCCTGCCAAGACTGGGGTTTGGGAGAGGAGAAGGACAACAAGTGGCAGGAGCTGTGGTTCATCCAGCCCCACTAATATGACCTCCTACCCAGGGCCTAGCTTCAGAGGCAAGGCAAGAAAGCCACATTCCTACACCCAGCAGCCGAGCAATCTGTTGCCACCCCGCCCCAGGCTTGGTCACCCAGAGGGGTCTCCTCAGGGAGGATCCCTTTGTTGTTATCATTAGCTCCCAGGTTACACTTCTCAGTAGTTTCTCCGGGGCGTGCAGATGAGACCAGGGGACTGAGTCTGTGCCGCTAGGCTGTGTGGACAGAACCTAAGGAAGACATCCCACCAAGAGTCCAGTGTACAACACTGTTGTGTGGCTTTCACTGACCTCACTAGAGAGAATCTATCTGGCTACACACAAGCTTCTCATCAACACATAAAATGAAAAAGCAGGTACTAAAGAGTGGCAGGGTGGCCTGGGAGGAAGCTGGATGTGCAGGAGGGACACATACATCTCCTACGTAGCAAGGGCTGCCAGTGATGTGGGTCTTAAGGGCAGGCTCTCCGGTCTGGGTACCCACCCACATTTCCTCAGCAATTCCTCAGTGCTCAGCTCTAAAGAGAATGGTGGTAGGAAACAGTCATGACTTTTTTAGTGCTAAGAATAAATTGAAACATTATACTTTCAACAAAGAATGAAACAACTTTTTTCATAATAGCCCTACCCATAAAACTCGGTTATCAGTAGGACCAGTCTTAGTACTACTGAACAATGCTTTCACAATTAACAAAGGCCTGCACAGGGTGTTCCTGGAAATCACAAACCAGGCAACAGCATAGGACCTGATTTAGGAAGAAGAACCTTTTGCTCTCAGATAAGTCCCAGTATCCACCTAGAGGCCTGACATCAAGAGAAGACAAGGCACACCCCCACTGTAGGGTGGGTTCAGAAAACTCAGGCAGCCAACTTAGCCCCCCGTATTCGGATCCCAGCCCATCAGGGCACTCACCACCGCAGGGCAATCTTGATGGGGGTGGTGAGACAGGATGTGAACAGGTCGGCTGGGAGGTCGGGGATCATGGGCAGGAGCTCGTTGGCCTCACAGGCCGCCAGCTGGATGCAGTTCTTCATCGACGGGGGCAAGGGCATCTGGGCAAGTGGGTGGTTTGGGTTGATTGCTGCAACCTATGGGGAGAACACAGGAAGATACTAGCTTAGCTGACACAGCTGGAGGGGAAGCTAGACTGGAATGAGAAGGAAAGGAGGAATTAACTAAGGCCTGAAGCTTTGAGTTTTCACCACCAAGTCCTTCTGGGGAAGGCTGATGGTTGATGACAAAGCAGGAAAACTCATCCGTATCACTCCCAAGTCCTTCTGGCAGCAAAAGTGGCTATGCCCTTGACAAGTGGGTCTCTTTTTCAGTCTTCCTTTCTAAAGGCCCCTCTGTACCACTTTATTACATCAATGTCTGCACATATGCCACCAGGTCATTTGTGGTACCTTACTGTCGATCTTAAACAACCTTTGATCCTTCATCACTAATGTTCAGGGTATATGCAGCCAACCCCAAGAGAAATGCAGAAGACTGCCAATGGGAATGGGAGTATGCATGTAGCCCATTCTACTGAGACAGACTGAGTGGTGGAGGCAGAAGGGTGGTTCAAAGTGATTTTTAAAATTTTTTGCCTATCTTTACCACATTTCTCGAAATGTTCTACAAACAGATGCGCATATATTTTGTAATCAGGGAGTTTTTTTTAAAATTCAAAATGTAATCTCCATTTAATGCAAGTAGTAGTAACACCTGTTTGATTTTTACTTTGATCATGAAGCAAAGACCCCAAGGTAAGGTTGATATCACACCGTGATGGTAAGAGGATAGTCTCCAAAACAATTACTGTACACTGAGAATGTAGGCCAGGGATGTAGCTCAGTGGCACTGTGCCTGCCTGCCAAGTGCAAGGTCCTGAGTTCGATTCCTGGTCCCGAAAAAAAAAAAAGGGAATGCACACAAAATATACTTCTGACTTAATAAAATCTAATTAAAAGTGTACATTTTATAAAGTATGCAATGAGCCAAATGTTAAAAAATTACAGGACTGACTGATCTTGATTTACCACATGGCCACAGAAAATTTAAGGATTCTCAGAATACCAGCAAAGAACAGTATTCAACTGAACATGGAACCCTATTCGGCAAACACAAGAGTTCTAGACTATATATTTTGCTTCTCTTCTCTGCTTCAAAAGGTACATGCATGCAGCAACAAGATTTAAGTCCACCACAAGTTTTGCTGTCATTTTCAGAAATAATAAGGGTCACAAGAATGCACAGCATTTGGGACAGTAAAATATAATAAGTTTAATTCACGAGGGATTGTGCACACACTGCACTGCCTGCTCCTGAAAATAATGGTAAAGAACAGTGTCAGGACCATTTCACCAAAGGAAATGCTTCAGCTCAGGAGCAGAGCAGCAATGCATGGCGGCTCACCTTGGGATGACATGACTCAGAAGATGTGGGAACCTCTGGGTGCCCAGGAAGAGCATGGGCCCCCAAAGTCCTTCAGCAGCATTGCAAGGGTCAACTAGATGGGGGATGACTGTAGGGTTGAAGCAAATGAAGAAAAAAACTCTGAAGAATGCACAGGATGCTAGAGAAGCGCTTGCATTTTCTCTGTTGGCCTGGGTTACAGTGTCTGAGCATAATATTTAGGTAACTAAAATAAAAAACCATGAAACTGAGAAAATAGATTGTACAGGTGCACACAATGTTCAGAATGCCTTCACTCACTGGCCTGGGAATACCAATTATTTGCCATGATGAAAGCTATCTACCATGAGCCCAAATTTAATCCACCCCACTTTGGTTAGGGATATGATATAACACAGCTCTGCCTGGAACCTGATAAAATGAAGTTTAATGCCGGAAAGAACCGCCTTCTAATGCAGTGTTATTAATTTATCAAGTCATTCAGCAACAAAGCTCTGCAGAATCATGTTACAGAATGCTGGCCATTCTGCCTCTACGGCTTTTAAGTTATTTGTTATTTAAGCCATTTCTTGGGTTTATTTCATAAATACCACAGGGGCACGATGATGTTTCTTTTTAACTCAGACAACAGCAGACCTCTGAGAAGGAAAGGTGCTGCACATCTGCAATTACAAGGAGCGCTGGGGAATGTGGAATGAGTCCAGAGGCATCATTTTTCACCACAGACGGCCACTAATGTTTCGTGACTTGTAAAGTACATTTATGCATCACCATTTTTGCTCCTTACTATTAATTTCTTCTAGTTGCACAGTTCTTAATATTTCTCAAAACTCTTTCATGTGTATCATTTCATTTGCTTTTTACAACATCCTGATGAGTTAACTTTCACCTCTATTTTCAAAGATCTTCAGTGACAAGGAAATAGAGCCCTCAAGTAGCAGTGTAACTATTCAGTTGCCAGGGCAGGACAAGGCTGGAGTGTCAATAAGCTGCTATTGGTTTTAGGGCCATTTTTCACTCTAATCTCTGACAGACATCTGTAACTCCACGGTTCCACACAGCATGCTCAGTCCCTTTCAAATCAAATACACAGAAAGCTATATTGGCTCCTAGGGACCAGCCTAGTGATGATGGTATAGAATGTATTACTGTACTACCCATAAACTCTACCTTAACATCTTGAATTTCTCAAATGCAAGGTACTAAAGGCTGTTTTATCAATAATCTCTTTTGATATAGGAACATTAAACCCAAAGTACAAGTCAAATATTTCTATGCACAATAATAAAACAATATAAACCTTTTAATTGAAAACAGCAATTTCTAGGAGAATGGGTGCTTATATTATAGTAAATTATACGTAGCAGAAAATTTGCTGTGTTAGCTACTGACTGATTGCAGTGTTGGGAAATCAAACCCAGGGCCAGGCAAGTATTCTATCACTGAGCTACGCTCTCAGCTCTACGCTATTTTAGATGTATAGCATTGAGTACACCCAGGCTATTGTGCAACTACCACCAACGTACGGGCCTTTTAAAAGCAGAGACAAAAGGGAAGCCAGAATCATATTTTAAATAATTTCCTGGACTCTGGCTGTATAAGCTAACACAGATCGGCAAAGCAACAGCTCTGCACAGGAAATTAGTTTCCAGGTCTGCGGCATCGACCCCCTACGCCAGATGACGGGTCTGGGCATGCTCGAGTCTGCAGCTCATCAGCTGTGAGTCACGCAGGGGCCAGGCAGGGTATGCGGGGGCTGCAGAGCATCTGAGCACAGCACAGGCCCCACAGCCTGGCACTATCGGGGTAGGAGGGGGCTGCACAGTCACAGTCTGACGACTGGGCTGGCAGGAAGATGGCCGGGCACACCTTAGCAGAATGAAGCACACTCCTAAAGTGTGAGACATAGTCTTGGCGATATCTGTCTGGAGCTGCTGGAAGACTGACAGACACTATTTTAATAAGCACCACTAACTATCACTGGGCATAGAAGTCTAAGGATGCCTGGCAGGTGAGTAAAAAGGAAACGACTCTAAGTAGGAAGAAATGGTCATTTATTCCAAAATAAGATTCAGATTCTTATTTTCACATTCAATAGGATGTATACTTTCCCAGGAGAAATTGGTGTGGCTTACTAGTTTTAAACTTTTCTTCTCATACTTTCTTTCCACATTAAGTTTCCTTTCTAAGTAGGGCTGAGAATTGAACAACAGGTCCTCTACCATGACCTCTAAAAATTAACATTTCCACTTTTGCTGTCTATTTGTACCAAGCTGCTGAAATCTAACCCTTTATAAGAAATGAAAGATGCTGGGGATTTAGCTCAGTGGTTCCGCTGCCTGCCTCGAAAGCACAAAGTCCTGAGTTCGATCCCCAGTACTGAAAAAAAAAAAAGAGAGAAGAAAAGAAATGAAAGACTTCCTCCATATCAGAACCCTGCCAAAACGAGATGCAGGCCCGAGTCCTTCTGAGCTCACTCCTTACTTCTGGGCCTCATTCCTCCCATTCATTCCCTAAGAGATAACTCTCAGTCACTTCCAACACTGGAGCACATGCCGACTCTCTCCCTCCTCAGCCTCTGCACTCACTACTCCCTTCCTCCTTCACCCCCGGCCAACAGTTCTTGTTCAAAACCCTTAAAAAGGCCACTCTTCAACCAACACAGGAAAGACCCTTGGCCCTCCTTACCACTCCTGTTCTGGCTGCCCTTTTCACCCTGCCCTTCTTATCAGTATTTTAAAACCCAAGAGTGTCAGGCTGTTCTGTGCCTTCTCCCCACAGATTTCTCCCAGAAAGCTACCCATTGTCTTTAAGACTCTCTTGCTCCATGAATTTACTTGCTTTACCCTCTCTCTCATTTAAGAATTAACATCCTTTCCCCCAACCTCAACTTCGTTCCCCAAAATAATCACTCACCCCTGGCTCCAGGACACCCTGAGTTCACTCCAACCTAGATCAGCTTCTTCACCTTCTGCCTCCAGTTTCTATTAATCCAGCCAGTACATTACCCATAACAAAAAATGATTTTCTCTGGCTATTCAGGTAACTCTCCTCCTGACAGGAATCAGAAGAGCCACCACTGTTGGCACTGGCCCAAGCAAAGTAAGTCTCCACTCACTGTTTCTCAGCGCTCTCCCTCAAACAAATACCCAACAAACTCTCCAACCTTCAAGACCAAATTAACGTCCCAACAACAGTGCCTCCAAAACCAAAGTGGTCTTGCCAGATTCAGCCCTGGCCCCTGCCCAATGGCTGCCCATGCTGACAACCTCAGTTCCTGACCAAGAACAAATAAAATTCATTGCTCTGGTGCACAAAGACAAAATTACCTCCTACTGCCCAGAACTCAACCCACCCTTGAACACCCTGTTATCTGCTTAAATTCCCCCTTCCTTTCCCCATTTCTCTACCTCTCTGAGCAGGTATCTACTGAACTAACTTCCAAGACCAATCGACTTACTGGCTGCTGTTGCGCTGCAAAACAGACGAGGCCTAGACCTGCTCGCCACAAAGAGGCGGACTCTGCCTTTCTCCAGAGAACCTACTGTTTCTTCCCCACCAAGTCCGGACTCAGAGACGGCATCGAAAGGCTGCAGGACCAAGCCACTGGCCTACAGAATCAGGCCTCGTCCCAGGCCCCTCCTAGCTGGCTGAGCATTTCTTGGAGATCCTGGCTCATATCCCTTCTTGG